TGAAATAACAGTTCATACACATGTATCTATAGGATTGTGCTATAAGTCTAATAAATTATGTCATATCCCTTCCTATAGTCTTGGAGGAACCCTTGAAATAATGTTCATGTCTCAGGGAACCCCTTCCCTTCTTGGTGGGGCCCTCTCCCATTTCCTAAGCAACCAGGCAAACAAAAGTGCTGATCAGGCAGTAACTCGTGTGTGTGTTTCTATTAAATTATAAGGACATGTGCACATGAATATGAAAACACCATGTCTGTCTGATATATAATTCATATTCCCACAATCTCTCACAGAACCTTTAGTGACCTTTTGTGGAATCCTAGGATTCCTGGGAACCTCTGTTTAGAAGGGCTTCCTTGTTGTATTCCTCTCTGTATATAGTTTGGTGCTATTTTGTTGTTGATAATCTTAATAATTCGAATGCTGATACCCATCAATCTAAAAACAGAAACAGTGACTAACCATGTCATGAAAATGTTCCCTAGCCCATTCAGAGCATAAGATGTTAATCTTTATAGTACTTTAGAGCTGCAGGTTAGGACCACTGGAGGAGCAAATGAAAGCAGAGTTGGGGATTAGGATCCTGTGGGGATGGGGCTTCTAGATCTAAAGGAGTGTGCTCATTTGGAGGCATACAATAACTGCAACAGAAGATCCTTTTTCAAGAAAAGGCTAAATATTTAAGTGACCTTTCCTGTGAAACTGGCCCTGCTTTAGAATATTGGATATGGTGAACCATTAATTAGCACCATGCACTTTAGGAAGGTAAGAAGGTTGGGGATCTGTGTGAAATAGGTTCAGCTGCAGACTTGTAGAAAATATGCAATGGCTAGAATATAATGTCCTACATCTTGTAATTTTATGTGCAAGAAAATCTAAGAATGAGACCCTGCACAGTTTAAAAGTTGAATTAATATGACTACATGATGCTTTGCTGGGGCAAAAATGAAATGTGCATGCGGTCAAGGGTACTTTGCTATTTTCCAGTCAAATCCATCTATTGGCAAAACTAAACAAAATGAGGAATCAGCTGAATGGATGACAGCATTTCTAGATCATCATTTGGGATGATTGGTAAAGCAGACCTTCAACTATCCACAAGCCACAGGTTACGAGACAGCAAGACTATGAGTCCTATTCCAGTCACTGCCTCAGCTGGACAGAATCTCCACTGCAGAAAGTAGCTCTTTCAAGGGGCCACTTCCCATTCTGAGGACTATCTTCCTTCTACCATGGCTTGCAGCAGCTAAAATGGAAGGACAAAAACCCTTAAGTGATACTTCAGTTAAACAGCATTAACTTCTTCTGTTCATTTTCCCTGTAGTATTTTAATGCTTACCAAAATACTGTTTTAAGGGTTAATTGGGTTCTGCCAATCCAAGGTCAGATATAAACCTCTTTGAATCAGGTGTACTCTAAAGAATCAGATTTTACTTTGGGGGGGGGGGCATTCCTGGACCAAAGACAGGAATGGATACCCAGGTGGTGACCATGATGATATATTTGGATACCCAGGTGGTGACCATGATGGTTAAGAGCACCTTTTCCCAGTTTGCTGGTCTTGCCCCCTTTATTGTTAAGACCATAACATCCTGAGTGGGATGCTGCAGCTGGGTTGCCTTGGAAAAGCTTTTTTGAAACTTCATCTCGGAATCGTAGCAACTGGAGCTTCCTGCATGGAGTATGTGTCTGTAATCCCATTCTAACTTTAACCACTCTCAGGTTGCTTTCTGAATAGCCTGGAAACAGGATGATCTAACCAGAGCATTTTCCAGTATGTACCTATACTCCAACCAACATCTGAGTCCTTGCTTCATCTCCCCATACCATCTGAGATATGGACAATGCCTTTGTGTTCTGGGTTGTGGGATGGACCTGCCTGGAATGGTTAATTTAAAGGACCTTGAAAAATGCTGGCTGACTAAGTAATGCAGCCTGTGCTGAGTCCTGCTCCTGGGTGGTTGTGTCTTTGCTATTCATCTGCTAATAGTCATCTACTATTACCAAGTTTATTTGACTTTTATTTACATTCGGACTGTTGGAGTGTGTGTGTGTATTTATATATATAAAATAAGCAATTGTGTTTCCAAGCTATGCTTCAGCATATGCCATTCCATTTTCCTGCTCCACTGATGTCTGGAAGGGTCATGTAATAGTTTAATTATTTTTGCCTTCTTGACAATATAAACTTTTGATAAGCCTTTCAAATTATGAGATTGCTGAAATATAGCTGATTAAAATGTTTGAAATGTAAATAAGGGGAATAGTATGTTCTGTGTCCACATGTCTACAAAGTAAGTTCCTATGTTGTTATTATCTATTTTCAAAAAGTTTTCTTATATAATTGTTTTAAGTAGTTTTCTAACTAAATGGAAACTTGATGCAAGATATTATTTGATTCTGTAGTAGAATCAACTGAAACTGTTGATTCAGATAAACAGAATCCAGATGAGTGTACCTGTTTTGTCCTAAACTGAAATAGCCACCAGTATGAAAACTGATAAGAACATAATTTGAAAATACAAATCTAAACACAAAAGGTGTGCTAATGAGAATAGTAGCAGATTAGCAGCCCTTTTGAAAGCTCCATACCTGTGTTGATCATGAGAAAAATACTTCCAGTTTAAACACTAAACAAAAACAAAATTCCTGCAGATAGGTTTAGGGTTAATTGCATACAATGCAAGGGCTCATTATGCATGCTAAAATGTTGGTTTGGCCAACAAAAGGAGCTTTCATTTGTTTTTAAAAAGTTGAGCCTAGACTATCAAAATTGCATTTCTTCCCTCATTTTTCCCTCTTGCTGGACTCCTTTTCTTACTCTAGACTCTTACACACGCACTGAGCCCATAAACCCCAATTTCTGTTAAGAATTCATAATTAAACAGCAAGCTCTTCTCAGTTTCTCCAGCACTGTAGAGGAACTCTGCCCTGTAATAAGCTCCAATTACTGGCCTTCCACTACGGCTGATGAAGGATTATCCTCTCCCTTAGCTATGGTGAGTTCTCCAGTCTAATCTTCAATTAGTTCAATTCATAGAGCATGCTGGCAAAGCCAGCCTCTAGGTTTCCCACGACTTACACAAATAGCCTTTCTTTCACACCCCCCATCCACCTCCTCCCCCCATCCACCCCAAACAATGCACAGATGGTCTGAGGACTGTCTGTTACAAACTTCATTGCATCTGGCCACTAAACCCACCTAACGCACAGGCAGCAGAACAAAGAGGGGGACTCAGATGCCCGACAGTACCTACTTGTTTCAGTAACAGCAGGCCTTTCTTTTGGAGAGACACAGAGACAGAGAAAAGTTATTCAAGAAGTCAGAAAACAGGTGGATAAACAAAAACAACAAGCAACAAATCTCTTAGGCCAACACTATAAATTCTTACTTCTAGTCGCTTGCCAATGAGTCAGGAATAGCCCTCCAGAAAGAATGTTATCTTGAAACAAACATCTTGATGCTTGCTTTGCAACTGAAAAAAGCCTACCCTGAGACTACAGCTTTACTCTACAACCTTGTCAATCCTGTCCTGTCATCCCCCCCACTCCCCAAAATGATGAGAGAAAATAACAGAAGTGGCCTTGGACAAGGTTTCAGCCCTGACACTGAGAACTAGTGGTAGAATCCTGGTCATCAACTCATTTTCATGGAGGGCTTCTCTGGGAAATAACCAACCTTGCACCTCCAGTCCCATCCCTTAGAGTGGTCTGCCAGGAGGGTTTGTTACTACAGGTGTTGCATTCTTTGTTAGCAACTGATTGCATCTTGCAGGGGTGGGATTTGACCCAGGTATCTCCATCTGACCTCCATGATAGAGAGCTTGATTTGAACAGCAGAGATCTGGGTTTGAATCTCTGCTCAGCCATGGAGTTCACTGAGTTGTCTTGTGCCAGTCATAGTCTCCACAAGCTAACCTTCTCCCTGGTTGTTGGGAGGATAAAGTGGAATGTACACTTTCCTGAATTTCTTGGAAGAACTACAGTTATTGCTGTTTATGGCTTCTGCTCATGCAAGACAAATTGGTGGTAAGTATGCATTAATTTTGTGCATCAAACAAACCCAAACATTTTCACAAATAAGTAAACATCTTTGATTTCCATGCTGCTTACTTCTGGGAAAATGTACTTAACGATGCAACTTAGGCTCTTTAATTTAATGGCTGAATGTGTTTTTTAAAAAACAAAAATATACAACACTTTAAGGGTGATTGTGACTGTGGTTACCAGCTGCCAAATATAGGAATGCCAATGCATATAAGAATGAAGTCTGCATGGGAGGTGAGATGAGGGAAAGAAGGGGACAGGATTCACCTCTTGCTTACATGAACATTTTAAATTGATATGCAGTTACAAAGAAACACAGAAACAGAGTGAGTCAGAATGGGTTCCCTGGGCCATCTAGTTTGACCCCCGGCTACAGCCAGCTCCACTCACGACATGCCCACCATGTGCATGTCCAGCCTATCCTTGAACATCCTCACCGATGGGGCCTCAACCACCTCCCGTGGAAGCCCATTCCATACCCTCAGCCTCCTAACTGTCAGGAAGTACAGTGGTACCTCAGCTCACAAATGCTTCAGTTCATGACCAAATCAGGTTGCGAACAGAAATTTCTGAAAAATTTTGCCTCGGGTCGTGAACTCCGCATTGGGTGATGATCGCTATCGCACCTGCCTTCCCCCACCGAGTGCGCCAGTGATCACACCTGCCTTCCCCCCAGCGCACCCATCGCGCCCTCCTCCCCCTGAGTGCACCCGCCTGCCCCCAGAGCATACCCACTCTTTGTAACATCCAGTGCCCTGAGGAGCCCCTCAGGGGACTGTTTCCAACATCGGCCCAGGGATTGAGACATCTCTGGACAACCGCCCGACATCCTCGCTGCTGATCCCTCACTGCTGCTGGGACACACCTGGGCTAGGACACTGCTGCCGCCGTTCTCCCTAACACCGGCAAGGCCTCCGTGGTCCCGCACACACTTCCTCTTTCCTCCTTCCTACCTGGCTGGCTGACTCCAGTAGGTGGTGCTGGGGGACTATAGCTCTGCGCCATGGCAGTTGTGCCATGGGGTTCCGCAGGGCTCTATTTTGTCCCCCATGGTTTTCAACATCTACATGAAACCTCTGGGAGAGGTAATTAGGAGGTTTGGGCTGCAGTGTCACCAGTATGCTGATGACACCCAGCTCTACCTCTCATTTAAAGTACAGGGTCCACAGCTTGGGAGTGCTCCTTGACCCAGAGCTGTCACTGGAATCCCAGGTGGTGGCAGTGGCAAGGAGTGCTTTCCTACAGCTTTGGCTGATCCACCAGCTGCGCCCTTACCTGGACAAGCACTGCCTAGCAACAGTGATTCATGCTCTGGTAAGCTCCTGGTTGGATTACTGTAATGCACTCTACGTGGGGCTGCCCTTGAAAAAGGGCCAGATACTTCAGCTGGTATAAAACAGAGATGCCAGGTTGCTGATGGGGACTGGTTGTTATTCTCATATAATACCGGTCCTCTATCAGCTACATTGGCTTCCAGTTGAAGTCCGGGCCCAATTCATGGTGCTGGTTTTAACCTATAAAGCCCTGGACAGCTTGGGACCAGGATACTTGAAGGAGCGTCTGTTCCCTTACATGCCCTCACGTTCCTTAAGATCTGCAGGAGAGGCTTTGCTCCCAGAGCTCTCTTTAAAGCAGACAAAAAGAACAACTACCCGGAGCAGGGCCTTCTCTGCAGTGGCGCCCAGATTATGGAATGTGCTCCCTGGAGAGGTGCACCTGGAGCCGAGTTTATATTCTTTTCGGAGCCAGGTTAAAACATTTTTATTTAATTGCTATTTTAAAAATTATTATTTTATCGTTAACAGTCGCTTTTTTGTTTTTATATAATTTTATGGAATTTGTTATTGTTTTATTTTTTTTTAATTGTATGTGCTGTGAGCTGTCCCAAGATGCTGAGGCATGTGGTGATGGCATATAAAAGTTTTAAATAATAATAAAAAATAATAATAAACTTCTGGGGGGGGGGTGACTCTAATCTGTGCCCCTAAGTCCCCAGCCTCATCTAATATGCGGATCTCCCCTGTCCTGCTTTGGGGAGAACACAGAGGCAAAATAGTCATTTAGCATCTGTGCCTGTTCCCTCACAGCAGTCACTGGATCCCCTTCCCCCTTATTTAGCAGTCCCACTACTTGTCTCCCTTCCTCTTGCTATTTACATGCTGAAAGAAGCCCTTTTTGTTGCTCTTGATATTCTTTGCAAGTCTCAGCTCGTAATCAGCCTTAGCCTTGCAAAGAATCCTTCTGCAACTGCCTCCTCTCCTTTTGTCTATTTGCCTCAGTGCCCATTTCCTAGGGAAGTTCCTCTTGTGTCTAATCCCACTAACCACCTCCTTTTTCATCCATGGCAGCACTCTCCTTTGCCTTCCTGCCTTACTAACTAGAGGTATCATCAAGGCCTGCACCTCCAAAACCTCCCTTTTTAATGCCATTCTCAACTCCTTTGCCTTCCAATAACCCATCCCAGGAGACTTTCCCCAGTCTGGCCTTCAGTTGGCCAAAGTTGGCCCTCTTGAAGACGCAACTTCTAGTGTTTGACCTGCTGCACACCCCCATTCCCCTGATCTCAAAGCAAAGGATGGAGTGATCACTCGCATCCAGAGCTCCCCTAATCTGTACCTCGTTTATCACCTCCTCCCTGTTGGTCAAGACCAAGTCAAGGATGTCCCCACCCCCACCTTTGCCTCTTGGACCTTCTGTGTGAAAAACCCTCCCTCTATAACTTCCAAGTAGTGATGTGACCTGGCTGTCACCGCTGAGTGAGTCTCTCAACTAAAAAAACATAGATTGACTGGGGGAAAGTTCAAAGAATATCCAAGTTATTAATGGAGCACCTCTTTTTCATGCATTTTAAAGAAAGAGTCCCCACTATGTTTTCCTAAGAGACATGTCATTCTGATCAGTATGCTTCATTTAATGTACGATAATTCAAGCTGCAATCGTATACACATCCATGTGACAGGAACTCTAATTAGCATAGTGGGGCTAACTTCTTACTTCTTATAAAACGAATATAGGATTGCATGGTTAAATACAAAGCCCACGATGAGGATGTATTTATCTTACATCTTGCCTACCATGTTTTAGTTATATTTTGGTATACTGTTCTTGTTCTTTCCCATAAAAACAGATGAAAATTATTCCTTCTCTATAAAAATACACTAAACAGATAGATAGAATTTTTAGTTGTCCATATAATAAAAGAGGCACATTTTGTCATGTGATCTGTCCATCAGGTACGTTAGTACCTGTTCAAAGATCGTAGAAGATATTTGCCACAAAAAATATCAATGTTTAAACATCATGTACACATTAACAAAAGAAGGACCTTCTTGGTTGCTGCCCCTCATTTATAGAATTGCCTCCCCAGAAAAATTCACTTGGCACCAACATTGCTTTTATTTTGGTACCAGGCAAAAACATTTCTCCAGAGGTTTAAAAAACAATTGACTTGCTAATCTGTTGTTATCTATTGCCCTGCTCACGTGACACAATTTTAATGGTCAAGTGTCATATTGTTTCTGGGTTATATATATATGTGGATATATTGATTTCAGTGTTTTAGTATTTGCAATACCGTTTGTTTGTTGTAAACCACATAGAGATGCCTGTAGGACTAGTGGCGACATATAATTTATTTTAAAATAATTAATTAAATTGTATTTAGAATCCTGTTGTGGGGATGGAGGTTGCTGTGGTATCCCAGCTGTATACTGGACAGGGCATCCTGCACAAAATGTATTGGGTGAAATCAGTTCCAATGTTCTGTCACACTCTAATCTAGCCAATATATCAGGGTGGAACTTTGGCGATCTGGGCCTAGGTCCACACCTTGATTTCTGAGGCAATGGCCTCAGTTCATGGGAAGATGGCATATGAGGTTAAAATGGAGCCAGTGGGATTCCTGAAAGGACTGGAACATTCCATCCTTCCCCTTCTGGTCAAATCATCATTCTTTAGCTCAACAGCATCAACAACATTCATATATAGAAGTTTGGAATGTTGAAAGCAACTTCCATATATCATGTCAGCAATCCATAGAAAAATCTTGTAAGATACAGCGTTGAAACATTCTGCCAGTTGATATCTCTCTGGCTGCTTCTTTGGGGCTTGTTAAACAGCTCTTTAAACAACAACTACTCCTTTCTAGGATTGATGAATTGATGTCAGTCTTACTTACTTACTTACTTACTTACTTATTTATTTATTTATTTATTTATTTATATTGCGATTTATATCCTGCCTTTTTCCTACAAAGGGCTCAAGGCAGCTTACATCTTCTCTCCTCCTCCATCTTATCCCCACAACAACAACCCTGTGAGGTAGGTTGGGCTGAGAGTCTGTGACTGGCCCAAAGTCACCCAGTTGGCTCCATGGCTGAGTGGGGACTAGAACCCGGATCCTCTGAGTCCCAGTCCCGTGCTCTTAACCACTACGCCACACTGGCTCTCTCTTTTACCTTTCCCCACATGTATCTTTATTGCTCTGTAGCTACAGTACCTTCTTGTTGTACATGTTCTACCTCCCCATTCCCACAGTGCAGCTATATGCTTGAGGCAACAGTCCATCAAACCAAAAAGGGCAAGCCAGTCTTAATGGGGGCCATTACTCCTGTCAACTGCATTCACAAATATAGCATGGTAGGAGGTACCTTACTTTAAAAGGAGGTCGCTGAACCTTAGAAACATAAGAATCATGTTTGATCAGACCGAAGGCCTATCTACTCTACCATTCTGGTTGTATAGTGGCCAACCAGATGCCAATGCAAAGCTTGTGGCTCAATACCAGTCCCCTAACAACTGGTACTGAGAGGCATACTGCTTCCAATATACAGTGGTATCTCAGCTCACAAAGGCCTCAGTTCATGACCAAATTGGGTCGTGAACAAAAATTTCTTAAAAATTTTGACTCTGGTCATGAACTCCGCATTGGGTGGTGACCACAATCGCGGCCATCTTCCCACCCCACCCCCAAATGGGGAGGTGGCAGCGATTGTGCTGGGGACGGGGAGGGGGAGATGGCCAAGATCATGCCTGTCTTTCCTGCCCGAGTGTGCCCGTGATGGTGCCCGTCTTTCCTGCAGGAGCCCAACCATGATCTCAGTCATCTCCCCTCCACCCCAGCACGAACACACCAGTCTCTCCCCCACCAGCGCACCAGGATGATGGGCGTGTGCAGGGATGAAGGGCGCAACTGCGGTCGTGCTGGGAGGGTGGAGAGATGGCCACGCTCATGCTCAGGGTGGGTGGGGGGGAGGGGAGATGGCCACAATCTTTGTTGTTCTTTGTCACTTTGTTTTACATTTTTTCTGATTAAAAAAATAGTCACAGAACAGATTAACCTTATTTACATTGAACCTTATGAGGAAAATGGCTCACGACCAATTTGGGTCACGACCAGAGTCCTGGAACGGATTAAGTCCATGAGCCAAGGTACCACTGTATAGCCATAATGGCTAGTAGATATTACTACCTGTAATCTCCATTTGGAGCCATCTGGGTAGGCAGTCATTACTACTTCTTGCAATGGTGACTTTCATTGTTCACATGGTATGTGAAGAAGATTTTGGCTGGGTTTATACAACATGACAAGCCACAGTGGTTTTTTACCATGGTTTGTCAGGTTGTCTGATCCCAGTCACTATATTTCTCTATTGTACATTTGGCCTTTAGAAACTACAATAAAAAGAAAATGCTATGGCTACTTCATACCATGATGGTTTCTTGTCACCTCCAACCCTGTGAATACAACTACCACAGAGTTCTCTGGAAAGAGTGGCAACTGCTGGGGCTACTCCAGTCATCCAGCCTCAACTATCCCACTTTGTCTACCACTCTGTTTTCATGAGTTGCTAGTTGTCTTCTGCACAAAGGTTATGATCTCCCAGAAAAATGGGGGTCCTCAACACCAAATTCAAGACTACCTCTGACAATTTAAGTAGGGAGAGTGCCAGCCCCACAAAGGGCAACTCCACAGGCAGCAGATGTTACATCCAGACAGTACCATGCTCTTTCCCAGCTGGCCATTCCACGTTCCTCTGGCCATTGACTGCTTGCCCTGGCTGAGACCCTCAGGCCGGAGACTTTCAGGTTGTTCCCAAGGTTTGCATGTACAGAGGGCTGCAGGCTGAAGTTCCTAAAGGAAAGGTAGAGCAAAGAAGTACCCAGTGCTGTGTCAGTTCATTACAGAATAGATTTGAGTATAGCATAACTTACGACCCTTGTGGATTCTGTGACCCAGTTAAAGGCAACATTTTGCAAATTTAACAGGATGTCTGCCATCTGCTGGATCACCTAATTCCTTGGACAGGGAAAAACCCAGAGGCAAGAGATATGGTCTGGCACAGAACCAAAAACTGGTCCCTCTACAAGGCCACAGGTTAACACTAGACACAAAATCTGTTGGGGAGGTCCTTGGGTTGCCTCTTCATGTCGCACTTTATTTTCCTCTGGATGTATGAAACCCATTCCCTCTTCTCTGAACATGCTGCTAATCAGCTTTAATGGATGATCTCATGAGAAAGAAAGATCATCTCTGTTTGAAACAGTTCATAAGTCTGTCTTGTCCCACTTTAGTCTAAGTTTGCATGGAGGTGGTAAACCTGTGCATGGAAATGGGCCACTGCCTTAGCAGAGAGAGAGGGAAGGGCCCAGGCCCCCCATGGTTGACTTAACCAAATGCTTAACACATTTTCTATGTGGAGACTTTTCTTTTTAGTTTCTTATGGAGGAGTATCCAGGCATAAAAACCCCTACCTGCAATCTGCCAAGGTCTGGACCCAAGTCCACACACCATTTCACACAGAACTGGGCCTCTTAGTTGTACATTTTTTCTAAAAATGAAAAAGACCCTAGTGCTTTGCCTTTTCTTTCAGGGAAGTAGTTCTCAGCCCATTTAATTTTAATTGTCCTTTTGTGTCCCTTATCTAGCTTTATGAGATGGGTTGACCAGAAATGGGACAGTGTGCTATACAGGTTAGTGACAGATCTCTCTCATGGCCCTTCAATGCTTGGCACTTTGCTTGCAATCCCTTTACTGATGAGCTATATAGAAAACTCTACTGAAACGGTTTCCTTTTATGGCACAGTATTGCTGTTTTTCCATTTCCATGCCAAGTTTGCCTGGAGCCACTACGTTCATTCACTCAAAACAAAGGACCATCTGAATGACACATTCATTAGTATGTGAATCATTTCACTTTTCCCCACAAAGTAAACAAGGTCATGTGCTGGCTTTGTTCCTGATAATGAAGGAAAAAACTGACTCCCACAGACATTTTAGGTTTCCCACTGGAGAAGGCCTGCACAACTTGTGACCCACCACATTGAATGCAGGCCATTTGCCATGTATGGTGGCCCATTGATCAATTGCACTCACCCCCCCCCCTTTGCTGCCTTTAAACCACAATTCCCATTTGTGAGCTGCATTTAACTTGATCACAAGTTGTGCAGCTCTGCACAGAAAGAAATAAGGTCAGAGTAATGCAGAAGTCAAGAACAATATTATATAGCAATTTTAACACAGTTCATTTAAAAAACACAAAAAAAATTTAAAATACAAAAAAGTCTCAACACATTGGATTGGATCTGGTCATATGTAAAATTGATGTATTACAAGCAGTGGGACTTAAATTAATCTTGACTAACTTCACTCCCATTGTTCTCAGTGCGTAATAGTGCATAAAACAAAATATAATCTATTACAATGGGTAATGGTTTGTTTCTATGTAAACATGATGAGTAACAATTGCCTCAAATTCTGGGCAGAAGGTGCCTCTAATCAGAGTGCCAAAAACTGGTCTGCAAGTCCCTGAAAGCATCCATCATTATGCAACATAATCTTTGATTATGTTTTGATTTATGTTTTGATTATGTTTGATTTTTCGTGAGAAAGATCTCAGGTTCAATCTCCGTAATCCCCGTCTAGAGAAGGATCAGATAGCAGATGATGGCAAAGACTCTAGAAAGCCACAGGGACAAGCTACCTGGCCTCGTCTATGACATAACTTCCTGTGAACTGATATCACTCTGTTTCAAAGCTCAGTTTCGAAAAAATAACACCACACCAGCACTTGGCAGGTGCATGTTATATTTACTTCTCATCTCTACAGAGAGCAACAAACAATATAACCAATATTTGAATTGTACACTTGATAATGCACATACTGTTCACTTCTCTTGTGTTTTGGTTGAATGTTTGGCTGCTTGCATTTCCTTTCCAGACCAGACCAGACCAGATCCAGGCCCTCTGATTTTCTGAGTCAATTTCAATCAGGCTTCAAGCCCTGGTCACCTTGTAGTGATCAAAGCCATTATTCCTTCCTTAGTATATCTAGCCACAAAATCATACCAAGCATTTAACTGTGGTTACAAAAATTAGGTTTCTTAAAATCCAGGGCTCCTTATTGATTTCACTCACTTTTACTTTTTTATACAATCATGAATTTCAGTATTATCTGATTACTGTCCAACAAAGTTCCTGCTGCTTTAATCTCATTTACCTGCTCTTCTTCCCTTTTGGTTAAGGTTAAGGGAGGGCACCATCCAGTTATTTATTTGTTGCTGTTCCTACAGTAGATGTATGCATGCTTCCAAACTTAGAGGCTTACAGGCTTCCTATGCAAGGTGCATGGCACAGCAGCAGTGATCTCTACCACTGCTTGTACTTCAAGTGCTGCATTTTCTCTAGGCAACTTTTTTCAGCCATCTAGATTTAATGTCAGGGATGGGGAAGGAAGGTGGCTGGGATGCTAATTGAAATCTGCATAATGCTGCTGCATGGCACCAGAGGCGACTGCCCAGGTTGCCCACCCTTAATTCCACAGCTGGCTAATTCCACAGAGTGTGGATTCAGCCTTCAGACTCCCAGCTCCAAGATCCAAGAGCTGGGATTCCAAAGAAACCTATGGCCTCCTGACATTGCTGGAAGGCAAAAAGATTGTGCCCCAAAGGATAGTGCATTTCCTGTTTCTTGCTTTGTTCTTCTGCTGGCAAGGCCTATCGGGGATTTGTTGGAGATTCTGTTCTTAGCAGGGTTTGTTTCCCAGCAGATATTTGGTTATCTGATGTCCTCTGCCATTACTAGTTCTTGCTTAGCTGAAAACTGCAATTTGTTGCAAGAAAGCATTATTCACATTCTCACCTTGGTTTGGCAGCCTGTCCTGAAGCTTGCCCACAATGTTATTTTTATTTCTGTCCCTATTTACTCTTGCCTGCATGTTCTCCACAGGGCTGCCATCTTTATTCCCTTTCCTTGAATTCCATACTCTTTTTGAACAAGTTATATCCTTCACTTGCTCATTCCACTCAAGGGATGCCCCATATGTATGTGGCTTTTGTATGTGCAGGGGATGGGGAGAGGCACTTATACCCCACAACCTTGTGATTGTCTGGATCCAAGAACACAATCTATGCAAAAAGTATATTGACCATCATGACTTCAAATATCATTCTTATTAGAGGAACTTTTCTAGCCAGACTTTAGCTATATATCAATTTATTTCTTACCAGAAGCCAGGCCTAAACATGTAAATACAAGATACTAACAGCTTGCAGACCAGTGTGATTCAGTCTGTCTGCTCTTACCAAGCAGGCTTGCAGAAGATCCCTGCAGGATGCCCTACTAATCCTTTGCGTGTAAAAGAGCTCCTGCTGAAGAGATGGCACTTGCATTGTTCTACTTGTGCCCTTCTAAAGCCTTTATTGCACCTCCTTTGTATACCATGGAACAAAGGTCTAACCAACCTCCAGCTGGGCACTGTGCCATCTGAACAGATGGGCAGAAAAACTTGGGTAGCCTGACATCCATGTCTGCGTGCTCAGGGAGGGTATTGAGAAAGGAGTTAACTAGCTGCTATTCACCCTGAGCCTCCATGGCTGAAGCCAGACAGGGACAACCAGTCTTGTGATTTTAATAAAGGGGAAGCAAGATCAGAAGCCAGTTGAAGCACAGGTGTCTTGACTGGGAAGAGGAATACCAGGGAAGTCAAGGCTGCAACGAGGAAAAGACATCGTCATTATTTTGTGGGAGCAGAATGCCTGACTTTATGATGGGAGATAGGCATGCATGCACAGATAGCAGTATACTGGCTTACTCTGGGTGTTTTCATGCTATTCTTTTATATCAGGGACACCTGCAGGCTTAGAGGCAATGGTGCATGGGCTATTTGAACATAGAGACAAATGGAGGAATCCTGTCTAATGAGAATTTGGCCACACAGGTGCCCTTTTCACACAGTTGGTATCTGGCGGTTAGTATAAATCTGCCTTCCCAACCTGCCAACATCCTGATGTTTTGGTATTCATCTCCCATTGGTCCTAGCCAGCATGGCCAGTGGTGAGAAATGCTGGCAGCTTGGGAAGGCTGGTGCAGATGCTGCAGATGTGGAACAGAAGCGTGCCCACTATCCCTGCTCCCTGCTTCCAGGCATGCTGTGCCCTTGGGGAGGAGCTCCTGTGCACTTGCACAAGGTATGCTTATGGACTCTCTCCACACAGTTAGGGAACTTGCGCACTATTCCTGACCCGTTGGAGAGAGCCTACCATGTCTACCACCTGTATGCAGGTAGCCTCTGTTCACAGGGGTTAAGGAATAGATGCAGGTCTGGAGCAGGGACACTGGCATGATCCCTGCATTCCAGGAACCTAGACAGCCCTACAAAAACAGCTGGTGACAGGTATCAGACAAGTTTGTCCTCATCACAACAGGATCTTGAACTTGAGAGCCCACTATCGGGCCTATGCTGTGGCGGTGAAGGCGGCGAAAAAGAAGTTTTTTTCCGCTTCCATTGCCTCCTCACAATGCCGTCCGGCGGAGCTTTTTCGAGTGGTGCAAGGCCTGGTTTGCCCGGGTCCTAAGGAAGATCCGATGCCACCCTCAAAGGCCCGCTGTGATGACTTTGCCAGGCATTTCAGGGAGAAAATCGCTCAGATTCGTCACGAGCTGGGCTCCACTAATGAATCAGAGGTCTCTGAGGAGTCACCAATGCTACCGTCTGGTCCAAAATTATTGGAAGAATTTCAATTATTGCGGCCCGATGATGTGGACAAGGTGCTTGGACGAGTACGTCCCACCACTTGCCTATTGGATCCTTGCCCATCTTGGTTAATAAATAACTGCAAGCACGGGATTGGGACCTGGATCTTGGAAGTGGTTAACGCTTCTCTGAGGGAGGGTCGAGTGCCTGCCCCTTTAAAGGAGGCGGTAATACGACCGGTCCTGAAGAAAGCGTCACTGGATCCAGAGATGGCCACTAACTATAGACCTGTGGCCAACATCCCGTTTCTGGGCAAGGTGTTGGAGCGAGTGGTGGCGGGACAACTCCAAGCACTCTTGGATGAAACTGATTATCTGGATCCTTTTCAGTCCGGCTTCAGACCCGGGTACAGTACTGAATCTGCCTTGGTCGCCCTGTACGACGACCTGTGCAGGGAGAAGGACAGGGGGAGTACATCCCTGTTGGTTCTTCTGGACCTCTCGGCGGCTTTCGATACCATCGACCATGGTATCCTTCTGGATAGACTTGCGGGATTGGGGGTTGGAAGCACTGCTTTGCAGTGGTTCCGCTCCTATCTCAACGGTCGATTCCAGAAGGTAGTGCTGGGGGACCATGTCTCTACGTCATGGCAGCTATGCCATGGAGTACCACAGGGCTCCATTCTATCCCCTCTGCTATTTAACATCTATATGAAACCGCTGGGAGAGGTCATCAGGAGGTGTGGGCTGCGGAATCATCAATATGCTGATGATACCCAGCTTTACCTCTCGTTTTCCACTAATCCAGGTGAGGCAGTGGCTGTGCTGAACCGGTGCTTGGCCGTGGTAAGGGAATGGATGAGGGCAAATAAACTGAAACTCAACCCAGACAAGACGGAGGTCCTGTTGGTTGGCAGATCGGGTTTCGGAGAGGGTGGATTTGACCTGGTCCTGAATGGTGCAACACTCCCTCTTAGGGATAAGGTCCGCAGCTTCGGAGTACTCCTCAACCCAGAGCTTTCTTTGGAAGCTCAGGTGACAGCGGTGGCGAGGAACGCCTTCCTTCAGCTTCGGCTGATTAATCAGCTGTGCCCCTACCTGGAGTACGACTGCCTGGCGACGGTGACACACGCGCTGGTGACTTCCCGCCTAGACTTCTGTAACGCGCTTTACGTGGGGCTTCCCCTGAAGACAGTCCAAACACTTCAATTGGTGCAAAATAGAGCTGCCAGGTTGCTGATGGGTACGGGGCGTTATGCTCACATGACTCCAGTCCTCCGTCAGCTTCACTGGCTTCCCATTGAAGCCCGGGCCCAATTCAAGGTGTTGATTATGACCTATAAAGCCCTAAACGGCTTGGGTCCTGGCTACCTGAACGAGCGCTTACGTCCGTATATGCCTGACCGCCCTTTGAGATCTGCGGGGGAGTCCCTTCTCCGGGAACCCTCCATGAAAGAAATTAGGAGAGTAAGTACTCGGAGGAGGGCTTTCTCTGCGGTGGCACCCAACCTGTGGAATTCACTCCCCAAAGAGGTCCGCCTGGCACCGTCGTTACTGGTTTTTCGGCGCCAGGTAAAGACCTTTTTATTTAAACATCATTTTAATTGTTAAAACATATGATCTGGCCAGGGCAACTTCTTCTTCCTTCTCTTTCTCCTCCTATATTTTTATTTACTTAATTTATACTGATAATTTTAATCTTATATTTGTAAATCAATGTATTTTTTTGTATTTTGTAATTAATGGTAATTTATTATGTGCTATTGTATTTCATTGTATTTTATCGTGTTGTAAGCCGCCCCGAGGTTTTGGCAAGGGGCAGCATAGAAATGTTATAATCATCATCATCATCATCATCATCATCATCATCATCTCCAAATGTAGCACTTGGTTTTTCTCCTGTGGCACAGGGAGAAGGTGAAGAGCTATCTCCATGGAAAACAGGAGGGTGGCCTCTGCTGCAGTTCTTCCCATGGGCTCTGGCCCCTAAGAATCAAGCTGGATTCCAGCTGCATTCCCCCATCACCTTCACCTGTGATGTCCATCATGCCTGTGAGTGATGGAATGCAGATGCATTCTGGTTTTCTCTCCCGAATGGGGGTGGGGGGAGGACAAGCTCGTATATCACACTTTTTCCTCAGGTAGGCAAAGATGACAAAGAGGGGCAAAATAAGGGCCACTGTGTGCTTGTTTCTGCTTTTCTAAGTAGCATCCCTGTATACTATGACCCCTCCCCCCCACTTAGAATGGCAGTTTGGTGTGACTAGGGTGGGGTGGTGAGGGAATTTAATCCTTGGCCCCTGCTAACCAGAGATTCTCTCTTCCTCTCCCAGCTGCTATTTGGCACAGAAAAAAACAGATTATGAATTGCTAACTGCATGCTTAATGTAACATGAACCTGACCCTAATGGATGTGGTTTGCATGCTCACTGTCAGTTTACTTGTGAAGGTTGTAACAAAGAGCAAACCTTCTCATTATGCTCTGTCTCACTTCCATCCTAGGAAGGTCAGGGCAGTGCACAGAGGGCTCCCAGCAGGCTCACATATCCATGCTGCAGCTCCCAGGCCACTCACTGCTGTTGGAGCAAAGGCCAGTGGGGGCTTATGGGGAGATTTGTGCATGTGTCAGCCAGGAAGGACCAGGACCAGATTTTCCCAAGGATGAGTCGTGGCTCAGTGACAGGACATGGGTTTTCTTGGCAGAAGGGGTTTTTCATTCCAGTAAAAAACCCAGTAAGAAGGAGAGAACAGAAAAAGGGGTTATTTTCAATGGTTTGGGATGGCAAACTACAATGTATTATTTCCATCATTATTGCTGGGCTTGTTGCACGTTTAGCAATATGTGCTTTCCTTTCCCTTTTAAATGCAAAATATAAATTCCTGAAGATTTTGTGAAAACAGACAGACAGACTCTGCTTCCTTCATTCCACTTACT